AGAATAATAATATTACTAATAATAGTAATAACAATAATAATAATAAGAATCATAAACATAATAATTCATATATATATATACCTGCTACCTGCCTCGCCCAATTATTATTGGTCGTTCCTAAATAACCAGGTTTTCCGGGTGCGTATGTAAACCGCTAGAGAAATACGGGCGTGCTGGTTTTACTGGTTTTGGGTGGTTTTGAAGGATTTGGTTGAAGATTCGTCTGGGATGTTGATCTGTTGTTGGGATGGGTTGAAAAGTAGTCGGGCTGACGATTTAGGGCTTCAGGGTTCATAATTGGGATTGAAGAGGCTTCTGAAGGCTCGAACATGTAAAAAGAGTCCCACTGGACAACTTAAGCCCCACACCCTAAGCCCTCCGAAAACCCCGAAGGCCTAGAACCCCGAAAACCTAAAACCCCTAAAACCCCAGCCAAAAGCCCCGAAGGCCCAGAACTCCGAAAACCTAAAACCCCGAAACCCTCAAGCCTCCCAAAGCTGAAAAGCCATTTCGGCATGCGGCTGCTGGGCTCCGGCGAACGAGAGGCATCCACAGGGTTTGAGGATCTAAGCTTTCGGGGCCTTACTATTGGTTAATTTGGGAGCTTAGGCTTAGGATTAAGCGATCCTCCTACCCCGCACGGAGCTGGCCACGTGTGGCCACCAGATAACGTCCAATCGTTCGTTCGCTGTGCAAGCGAGGGCTGATTCTGCGGGATAACCGGGATACCCTGCCCACGAAGTCCTCGTCGGCGAAGTTCGAATCCGCCAATGGATTCTGCAAAGCAGACAAGTTGTTTTGAACACCGTCATGAAGCCGAAGACAAATATGATGCCAAAAATGAAGTTTCGGCGTTAAGTTGTATCTGCAAAGGTTGCGATCTGCACAGATTCGGGCACATTTTCCATAGGCCTGCAAGAAAAATAATCCTGCTTCAGCGGCGGTAGCCGCCTCATCCTTTGTAAGCCATAGACCAGCCTTGAGCACCGTTCGCATGAAAACACCCATGGCGTGTGATGCTCCATACATGAGCCTGAGAAGCTGATCCTCCTGTAGCAGCCTCTGCTGTTGATCCAAAAGCCATATGACAAATTCAAACATCACAGGAGTGTCCAAGGCCTTGGCCCAGTGCCCCGTGGGAAACGAATGCTCGTTCTTGTAACCCAGCATGTCCCTGCTCAGCCTTTTGAAGTGGAGCTGGCGACGGCTCTGTGTCAGGAACAGTTTCAAGTCGGACGTCTGCCTCTCCAGGGCCACGGGTATGGAATCTGCATTGTACAAGTCCAAAAGGAGTACAAGAGAGCTGCCACACCAATCTCGTCCAAAGCCTAAATGCAGCAAATGCATGACGTCAAGTCGATAGAAAGAGGGAGCATTTGCCCGGATGTGCGGAATATATTCCAGAAACGGAGGGATCCTTGGCCACGGGGGTGGGTTGTTGCGGCCCATCGTCGGCATCCATCCAGGTGTTGACCCAAAATCTTCGAAAGCGTAGTCGTCCGTGCCTGCGAGGCATAAGTGGCAGCACCCGGATAACTTTTTGCTTTGCGGCCTTTTTGGCGCCTTCCTGATATTCAGGAAGGTCCGTTCCAAAAAGCCGGCTTTTTGTAGAAACGGGAGATCGCCCTTGACCCCCAGCGGGAGGAAGCGGAACCGTTTGCCACCATGCAAAACCAGTCCTTGGTTGTAGAGATTGCTCAAGTTTTGCATAAGGCCATCCAAAAAGTTCATAAAGCAATCTTCGTCATCCTTGTAGTTTGCCTTCTGTAAGACACTATACAGAAAGCGAGTCGTGAAAGAGTGCTTCTGCAAATTCACACCTGCCACACCTGGTCGATGCACAGGGTGTGAAGCACGAGTGCCCCATCCAAGCACCGGCTGCCATTGCACCACCATAAGCTCTTCTTTTTTATATGTTCGACCGCCGTCGCCGTGCACCAGCAGGGGCACGGTGGTCTCGGGATCAAAATGATCGTGCATCCAAATTTCGTGCTCCGGTTCCCAAATCTTGTATTGCCTCCAAAACTCCCGTAGCCTCGGACCACCTGAGCTGTCCATGCCGGCTAGATACCCTTTCCCCTGATGTATTTTATAATTCTATAGTTGTAATGGTTTCCAGGATTGTGGTTTAGGACCTAAAGCTTTCAACAAAGTTGGTTTTGCCTTCAAAGTAAGGGTCAAAGCTTTGCGTTGGATGATGGGATACTTTGCTACAGACGGGTCTTTTTGAAGCACAGCCTACGGGATTGGGTTTGAAGAACTTAAGCCCTCTACATAGGCCCTCCAACCCCATCAAGACCCGGGACTTAGCAGGATGTTTCCAAGGTATTAATTAATTGCTGACAAAGGCTCTGCTGTCAACAGGCCCCCCAAGGAGCTTGTGCAGATATCCCTTATCCGAAAGAATACGAATGTAATCTTCAGGCATCAAGACAGGAACTGTGCAATTCGGTGCACACGTGATGTTGGTGCGAGGAACATCCAGTGTTAGATCGTACTTCCTCAGAATTCGTTGGAGGGCTTTCTCGGCATCCCCAGTCGGACATGCAGCCATCTCTTGCAAAGCCTTGCAATCATCCTCCCGAGCGAAGGTCTTCGCGACGGAGACGACGTGCTTGGCAGTGGCCTCGGCGAGGATAGAATGGGATGAGGTTTCGGATTCGTTATGATGGTGCTTGCAGTGGCTTCGAAATGCAGCACTTCTTTTCAGCAGCAACTTGATGAAGGCTCCCCGACTTCATGGAACTGACAAAGGAATCTTTACACGACCCAGCGTGGACGATCGGCCCGAGCTGAAACACAGTAGCAGAAATAAGGGGGATCGAACTTGGGTTGGAACTGGTTGTCCCTCATCCCTTCCCCTCCCCGAAGTATGTTGCGGCACTGCTTTTCATGGCAGTGCTGAGAAATCAAAGCGGCTTCAAGCATTTCGATTGCTCCGAGCTCATCACTCTGCTGCATGACAACCATGCGATCCCAACCTTTCTCTTTGTACAGCTGGAATCGCCCAGAACATTCGTGCGTAATGCCAATCTTGAAGATGACCAGCTCAAGCCCCCCACTTTGCATTCGGAGCTTCTTTATCACAGACACACAATGCTGAAGCACTTTTCCAGCAAGCAGCCTACAGGTCGGTAGCATGTAGGAGATACAACCATCCTCCAGCAGCTCTGGCCCCTGCGTTTTGCTGTTTCTTGCATCCATGACAAGCTCTCGAGGGCTGCGGCTTCGATCCTCCTTTTCATCATCGTCACTGCCCCAGGGAAACAACTCTGGGTTGTTTCGCATGAAGTTCACATAACTGTTTGCAGCATGCTTCACCATGGCTGCGAGTTCGGGATTGGATTGGCATCGCTTCAGCGACCTACATCTAGATAGTCGTCTAGGTTCTTGGGGCTTTGGGAGTGTTGCTTTTGAGGCACAGGCGTAGACAGGGTATTGGGTAAGGGTTTTGGAAAGCTTCGGGTTTGGGGCTTTGTGCTTCAGGTTAGAGCCTTTGGAAGATTTCATTTGGCTCCGTCGGGACATTCCTATTGGAGCCTCAGACTCTACATGAACCTAGTTTCGGCAAGCTTGGGGTTTGCGGGGTTTTGTTGGGGACTTTCGGCAAGCTTTGCGGGGCTTCTTTCGGGGCTGTGTTTTAGCACTGTCCATAGAACTTTGGGCCTAGTGCTCCAGGAAGGATTGCGGGAAGTTTGGAGTTACGAACCAAGCTTGGGCTGAAAGATCTCCTTAGTTAGTTTTGTTGCACGAAGTTGGTTATGGAGGGACTTGGGTGTTCGGGACTTTAGGAGTTGATCTATAGTTCTCTTTAAAGGATTACACCCTCGGACTCATTGGGTTTTGAAATCATGAATGCAACTGCCGCCTCGAACCTGCGAGGCCCAGAATTTCAATCCCCAAACAAAACCGTAAACCCTAATACCCCAAGGTACAAGAAGAAGTAAAACCCGAAGCCAGAATGTAGGGGCCCAGCTCCAGTGCCCAAAGTCGTAGCCAGCATGCGTGCACCATCGGTCGCGGGCTCATCGTCGCTATCCGAACCTGGCATGGCTTTAGGCTGTTTTGGGTACTTGGGCTTCACTTGGCTTCGGCGTGCAGGAGCATTTTTCCTAAGAGCAGCGGAACGGCACAGAGTTGTAACTTCGAGTAGCTCCGGGCCAGGCAAAGACGGACTGTTCATGACATTAAAATCGTTACGTAGGCAGTTGGTGGTTGCCGGCCCATCACCACAAACAACTCGTGGTAGCTGAGCACGTTTCTCGCACTCATCTAGAAAGCATCCAAGAGTATTTAGAATTTTAGGGGGTCGGGTTTAGGCAAGATTAGGAGAGCCCCTACAATATAGGTTGAAGTCAGTGAATCCTACAGCATTTCAGAGCCCCTCTTGGAAGGGTACGGAAAATCCTTACTGTGGGGCCTTCTTCCTCCTACGTTTCGGTGCATCCTCAGTCTGGTTGTCCTTGTCCTTCTTCTTGGGGTTGTCACCCCCAGAAGGCGAAGCCGCCCTTTTGGTTGGCTTCTTCTTAAGCTTCCTCAGGGAAGCTGCAACGAACTATGCATATCGATAGCAAACGACTGAATCAATGTCAAGGGTCTTGTTCTTGACCTCGCAGGAGATGGCCAGGGTCATCCTCGGTTCCAGGCCAGCCAAGTTTATTGAACAAAGCAGGGCTTTATCATGCAGTATGCTTCGGGAAGAATGTGCAAACCCACTTGCATTTCAGAGTCTGCTTCCTCACAGACTCGAAGAGCTTCTCCAGTTTCTCCTTTTGCCTGAGCAGGACAAAGTCGCATAGGATGGTTTGGGTTCGGGGCTTTAGGTTTCTGGGTTCGGGTTGGGTCCGTAAGGATTGGGATAGCTGTGTATTATGGCCTTGGGTGCGGGGCTTAAGACTCAGGGGACCTATCTATTATGGGTTTGGGTTCGGGGCTTAAGACTCAAGGGACCTTTGTTGTACAGAGTCCTCCTAGAACGACCACTATTTGGGGCACGACCTAATCTTTAAGTCAAAGTGCGAATCGGACAGGGTCGGGGTAATCTTTGCATCGGCTTGGAACGAGGCGAGCTCATCATAGTGGGTACCCAGAGAAGTCACAATCTCCTTCATCCGGGGGTACTCCCTTGGATGTTGAAGAGTTTGCTGCGGCTGACAACGAGACTGTAAACTCTATGCATCCGAGAAACAATTTCACTGCAGCGTCATGCAGGTCCAATTTGTCCATGAACTTTGTGAGTTTGTCGCGGGCTGCAACAGACTCCTTCATGTACTGCTCGATGTTGTCGGCCACCTGAGTTGATGCTGCTGCTCGATCGCTTGCTACTAGATGACACACGAACAAACTCTCACAGTAAGCCCTATGCAACAAGTGGCATTCTTATTCGGGGCATCCAGAGGGGCAGCTCCGGTACCCCGTTGGCCCCATGCCGAGTGCAGGTTCCCCTCCATGCCGGCGATGTCCAAGGAGTCCGTGGTGCCGGCGGCACTCGTGGATTCTTTGAGGCCCTCTTTCTCATATGTGCCCTGCTTGCCAGCCGTCCTGTGGTCCACCCAGAACTCTTCAAGCTCGTCATCGTATTTGTTCTTCCTGCACAGGGGAAGAGAATGTCGCTTTGCAAGGAGGCTAGAATGTGGGTTTAGGGGCTTGGGATTATTAAGGAGATCCGGCCTGATGTTCACCTCCGGGTTGTTGGTTCGGCACCATTGGATGACTTTGTCAGCATACTTCCTCAGTTAGCGAGAAGACAAGACCCTAGGTGCATCCGTAGAGGGGGCTGCTGCGAAGATTCGGGGAGAACCCGAGGCCTCCATCCGGGACCTTCTTGATCATATCTTCTCGCGTGTAGAAACCGCCGTTGGTGGCTTGCTCCCTGAAGTTGAAGCTGTCCTTGTACTGCTCAACGTTCCGAAGGAACTCGTCCTGCACCAGATAGGATCAGTATTTGTTCTAGATTCTAGAGTGAGTACGATCTCAAGAACAGCATCGTCATTGTCCTTCCGGCCATCGCAGTCGGCCATGATCTTCACCAAGCCATCACGAGCCGAGCCAGCTTGGGCCCAGATCTTGTGGAGGTCCTCCGACACCTGAAGCTTCCCTGTACTCGTGCGACAGCACATCCGGTTCACCTTGCTCCTCATCCTGTTCATGTAGAGCTTCTCGTCCTCCTCGGTGGCGAACTTGTCCCCAGCATGCTGCACGGCAGGTTCCGGATCCTCAGCACTTTGCTGCTTGGCAGAGGAGGCCGGGCTTGCAGACGGCGTCGGAGTGGCCGGAAAGTCCTAGCCCACAGGGATAGATTTTGCAGTCCAGCAGACTCAGACAGAACGAAGTACTGAAAACCAACCCCTCTTTGGAAAGGTCCGTGGGTCGCTCGGCCGAGGAAGGAGGCGATCGGTGCAGCTGCCGAGCGGGGGTCACGACTTCACAAGAAGGGCCGGGTTTGCTAGCCGTAGCCGTAGACCGAAGCTTGCGTATCATCTGCTCCTGGGCCTGCACCAACTGCACCAGCATCGCCTTAGAGTCATCAGCCTGAGCTTCGGAATAAGGGATTTCGGGAGGGTATTAGGGTTTGGGGGTTTAAGGTTTAGGGTTCAGAGGTCAGGGTTTATGGGTTTCAGTGCAGGGACTAGCGGTTTAGGGTTAGTTATAAAGGGGTCTAGTGTGGCTTCAGTGCCTAGGGTTTGGGGCTTTCCTGGGCCCAGCAGAAAACTATGTGCACAGGGTGCACTTCGGGGTTGGAATTGGCTTTGGGGGCTTAAGTGGGTATTAGCAGAGCAGACTAATTTCGGGGTGTTCCTTTAGGCTGTTTTGCAAAGCTTCGGGTTTGGGGCTTAAGTGGGTATTAGCAGAGCAGACTAATTTAGGGGTGTTCCTTTGGGCTGTTTTGGAATTTGGTTTTGGGGCTTAAGTGGGTATTGGATTTGTAGACTAATTCAGGGGTGTTCCTTTGGGCTGGACACTTGCTGTGGCTCCGGTGCAGCTTGCTGAGCCTTAGGAGTCGAAGCTTGCGTCTGCAGCCACTCCTCCGGGACATGCTTTCCTACATGAACAAGAGAGCACATTAAGTACTACGGACACACACTGGAATTAGGATACATCACATGCTGTGTCCATATAATGCAGTCTAAGAAGCATTTCCCTCATGTGCAGACACACACACACACTATGTGAAAAAAAAACACTGATCCCTACCTTGCCTTCAGGGCAGCATCGCTATCATCATCCGAAACAAGCGTGTATACATCCGTCTCGGCCTGCAAGCCATCCTCGACTTCAGCTGCATCCTAAGTTCATGAGATCCACAAACCTGAAGACAAACCCTGAAGAAGACAGCCAGGTGTCTTGGACGACAGATGATGCCTCACCGGTCGGTCGCCCAGCCACCAAGAGCTGGGAGTCGGTTGCTGGCAGGGTCGGTGCAGGGGAACCAGGAAAACCAGGCAGCAGGTTGTCGACCGACAGCTCCAGTTGTAGGTCCTCGCGGAAGATTTGTTCGAGAGCTAGAACCCATATGTAGATCATGCCGGGTATGTGCCTGTGGCAAAATCTAGGAACTCTAGAACCCCGCAAATCCTGGATCATTTCCTGTAAGGCTTCGGGGTCGTCGGGCAGCTCATTCTTCACACGGCAGAGGCCAGCGAGCATGCTTGCCGATCTCTTCATGAGCGGCCACCCCAAAACCAAAGCCTGCCTAAACCCTTTGTTTCGGCCCCACTGCTGCAAAGCCAGACCCGGAGACTCTTTGGTGGTACTTCGGAAGAAGTGATAATTTCAGATTCGGGGGTGGTTTTCTGATACGGAAAAATATGGTTAAATACGCTTTTATACGGGCGTTATACGGAATAAATACGGTCGCCGATTTTGCTGGGACTTATGGGGTTTTAAGGATATACGGTCGCTAAGCTGAGGAATACGGGTGTGTTGCCTAAAAATACGGGCGTGGAGTTCAGATATACGTGTGCCGATGGTTCTAAATACGGGCGTGTCTCTCATATATACGTGTGTGTGTCTGGGAAATACGGGCGTGGGCCCCCGAATCTGCTAAAACCCCCTAAAAAAGCTGAAAAAAGCTTATAAGTTCCTACGTAAACTCTGTAAACTCTACACAAAACACCCAAACACCTCCAAAAACCTTCTCGGTCTGAGTCACGGTCTCTGTAAACTCTACACAAAACACCCGAACACCTCCAAAAGCCTTCTGGGTTTCAGTCACGGTCTCTCTTTCTGTTCGCATGACACACTGCCTGGGCACTTTCTCGCTCTCCCTGCTCGCTCTCTCTCTCTCTCTCTGGTGCCTCCTGGCTGCTGTTGGTTGGTTTTCTGGGCTGCTGACTGTTGCTGGCTGCTGGCTGCTGTTTGCGGGTGAGCGGTTGCTGGCTGATGGTGGCCGGTGGTTGGTGGCTGGTGGCTGGTGGTTGGAAAGCTGCTTCTGGCTGGTGGTTTTGGCTGCTGTTTCGGGGTTTCGGCTGCTGTTTTGGCTGCTCGCTGCTGCTGCTGAGCTGGTTTTGGGTTTGGGGTTTTGACCCGTTGGACACTCCCTGCAAGAAAGACAGAAGCGGGGCCAGCTTTTTCTTCCAATCCCGGAGACTTCGCCTTGAAATCTCATCATAGTCTCAGAGAAGCACATACTTCTATCGGCCACGGCGATTGCTGCGACGAGTGTTGCGACGTCTCTCGTTGCAACTTGAGCAGCTGTGGTGAGTGTGCTCCAGCTGGCCTCGTGAGCAGAAGTACTCCCGACAATTCCAGCATCGATGCGGGCAACCGTCCTGCACCCTTTCTTGATCGGGCGGGCCGGGCGGCGGCGGCGGCGTCTGATCCCAATCCTCCATGATAATGATGCTGGGGTTGCTGCTTGCAGAATTGTCACCACGAGGCGAAGCTGTCCTGGCACTTGGCCGCCCCTCCTCTTCTCTAATCATCACCAAAGCCCTCAGCATCATGTGGCGGAGCTCCGGAGACAAGAGTCTCAAGATCACCAAGAGCTCCTCGAGCTGCATACTTCGTCTGCTTTGGGGTTTTTCTAGGACCCTAGGAATCTGCCCTGGCCGAGCCAAAACTGCAGGTTGCAGGCTCCCTTACATACAGAGTTCCTGCGAAACTGCTAAGAGTAAGTCCGAAATAGGCTTTAGGGTTGAGGGTCTGGGGTTTAGGGTTTAGGGGGTTCAGTAGATCGTACAGAGATATTCAGCAGGGCACCATGAGAGTGGGAGTTCCTCGAACCTCACAAATTAGCACTTGTATTCACAAGCAAGAAATAAACCTCGCATTCGGGCCCGACATGAAGCCTCCTTGAACCCCACGAGAAGAACCCTGAAACTAGGACACACTGTGTATCAATATGCCACCACCCTTGAACTCCACAACATCAACCTGAAGCCAGTGATAAGGTCTCTAAAGCCTATATATAACCTTAGGGCGGAACACAGAAGCCCCAAGGAAACAAACAACCCCACACACCGTCCTTCAGCCCTGAAAGCCCTTATAAAAGACCGAACCCTAATGCAGGCGAGTGGATCTTGAATCCTCACGAGAAGAAAGGCCACCGATTCTATTATGTTGTATTGAGTTGCCGGGGGTCCCGAAAGTCTCAACCCCCAAACCATAAGCCCGGTAGATATAGCTATATATGCAAAAATCCGGGGGTCCCCAAACCCTAGACCTCTGAACCATAACTGCGATGCTAGAACCCCTGCCCTAAACCCTAACAAACCCTAATCCCTGAACCCTAACAAACTAGAACCCCTGCCCTAAACCCTAGCAAACCCTAAACCCTGAACCCTAACAAACCCTAAACCCCAACAAACCCTGAACCCTACCTATGTGTAGACTAAATCTCGCTAAAAGAGTAATACCCTACGGAATTATTGCCTATGGGCCTTGGAAGACTCCTCTGGGTGCCAAATAACATATGGAGTAGGAGGCTTGGAATTGCTCACTTCGGATGACACAGGACTTCCTTGAGGAGGTTTCGCTGCTGGGTTTAGAAGTCAATATATAACATAAGTAGGGACATCCATATGACATCTGGTTTCTTGATGCAATCTTTACGGGTCTTCACGAAGAAAGTGAGGTTTTTTCGGAAATCTACATAAGAGTTCCTTACGGGCTCATGCGTACTGTGGGGCCTACTCGAGATCTCGGGAACTTAGGGATCTTCTATAGACAACCTGACACCCTTCTTCCCCGACCCGATAGAGTCCTACTTGTAGGGTCTCTAAGTAGTATGAAGGAACCATAGATCTTGGAAACCCATAAAGAACAAATCTTATTAGTAGACTTTTCCTTGTAGCGATGTAGCGAAGCCCAGGGTTCCAATCCATGACCCACAGAACTCTTCTCCTTGAACTTCAGCATCTTGAACGAACCAATGCCCAGCGATCCCTGCTGCAGAACACCAAAGCCATGGAGGTTTCGGAGTTTCCTTGGCCACAGCAGAACCCCCCCCCTCCTATCTAGTCAGCCACAAACACTCTGCACACAACACACACCCATAGATTCGAGGATCCCGTAGCCACTCATCCCTGGCCAAAGCATGTTGTCCAAAGCCACAGCCTCGTATCCGGCAGCCCGGGCCTTCTGGTTGTGCACAGGAGTCCCAGCCAAGAGCTCGATGAAAGCCAGGTCCTGACCGAGGGTTTTAGACTTAGGGTGTAGAGTTTGGGGAACAGTTTCGGGTGTAGGGTTCAGTAGTGGTCCCGGGCAGAGAAGCTTAGGGCATAGGGCATAGGCGGAATAGAGCTTGGGCACAAGGCCAGAGAGAAAGCTTTGGAGTTCAGGGTTTGGCGTGTTTAGGGTCACGGAGAAGAGCTTTGTGTCGAAGGTTTGGGGTGGCTAGGGTTAGGAAGAAGAGCTTAGGGGTTGAAGAAACTTAGGGAATTGCGGGATTTCGGGTGGCTAGGTCAAATTTAAGGCTATAGTGGTTTGGGGTGGCGAGGATAAGCGAGAAGAATTCAGGGTTCAGGGTTTATGGTGTACCGACCAGGATTGAGGGTGTAGGTGCTCGGGGTGGCCAGACCCCGAAACGAAAGTCCGGAATTTGGGAGTTTGGTTCGCGTGAGACGAAAATTCGGGGTTTAGGCTTGGCTTGTATCTCCTTGCCAAAGTAGATGTCTCTGTTCCAGAGCAGCAGCAGGACACACAGCAGGAAAACCTCAGCTTTTGAAGTGAACCACACAAGAAGATATCCCCAAAGCATTTCTCCAAATTTCAAATCACCCTGTCATGAAACCCTGACGAAAAGCTTTCGGCACTCCCAGGTGGAGCAGCTTCGACACGAGAGCTTCAGTGCTTGGAGGCATGGCCATTGAATGCGGGCCTGAGCTACCTACCTGCAGTATTTTTGTAGTCCATGCAAGTATAAGCTCTGCCATGACACTGCTATGTGTATACATGTTCAGTGGGACATGCAAAGGAGCTGCACACACTCGGAATCATCGAAAGTTCTGGCATTGAGGAATCAAGCACAACCCGACAATCCTAAACATGCCACAGCACTGGCTCTCTGGCAGGTGAACAACACATGGCGTGGCAGACCTGATGCTGGGGGCTTCAGAAGCCCTGCCCTTGCCAGGCCTCGTTTGCCCATCTGCTGTAGATGTACCTGCAACAAAGAAGCTCTCAGCTTCACAATCAAAGACTTCTGATTGGCTGCATGTACAAAGGCACTCTGGCAGACTCAATTTTCACACGAGTGACTTCTAATGGCTTCAGCATGATCAGCACACTGTAAAGCCCAATCATCGTGATTGGCTGGAGGCCGAAGCATCTAGCGTGCATGAGCACACCCATGCAGTTCCCCAAATGAACTCAGAAGTTCCCGAAAGCCTTAATATAGTTAGGTTAGGCCGAGGAAAGAATCCCCAGGTGTTTCACCAAACAGCCCATGCTATGTAGAAAGACAACTTGTCATGAAAGGGCTCAGGAAGCTTCTGTATGGATGCACCCAGACACAGTGCCGAGCTCTCCCAGCAGCTAACTAAGTCATCACATTTCCCGTCACTAGGACGAAGGCAAAAGCTGTGCTCGGATAGCCGGTGGCCGAAACTTTGTGAGCACTGCACCTGCAAGGTCAGCAGCACATCCCAGTGCACAAGCGACCCAACTAGCCTAAAGCGAAAACTAATAACTTAACCCAAGGACCCGAAATCGATAAGTTTAAGTAACATATCTTATCCCCATAAGAACCTCACTCCAGATCGGCAGCAGTAGGGCGAAGCACCACAAACTCCTGGGCTATCATCTCCATGAACTCGGGGAAGCCGGGATCGGTAGGGGCAATTCCGCTGTCAACCCAGCGAAGTCTGGCATACTTCCAGTAGATCGCCTGGCCAAGCCAGCCCAGTCATGAAAACTAAGTCACATGTTAACACATCACATGCCCAGACATGAAAACTAAGTCACATGTTAACACATCACATGCCCAGACATGAAAACTAAATCACATGTTACATGTTAACAGATCACATGCTTTCCTGCGTGATTCCTGCCTCGGCTTCGGTGCGGGTGCGGTTCTCCAGGCTGAACGAAATCTCCTGAATAAAAGTCTTTGCAATGCCCATCCACACCTTCTCGGAATCGCTTCCCTTGATGGGGGGCCTGGAACGACGGGCAAAGGTGTGCGGATAGCTGAAGGTGTCGGTCTCATCCACAGCATGAATGGAAGCATGATCGCCAGGACGGGCCCTGCCCACAGGCTTGGATCTGGAGGCTGGCTCCGGAGCCTTTGCAACCTTGGTGACATCACGACTGCGTTTGCCCTTGGGCTTCCAGGTCCCCTTCTCCCACTGAGCCCACTCCTCATCGTTCCACTCAGCTTCGGCCTCCCACTGAGCCCACTCCTCATCGTCCCATTCAGCTTCGGCCTCCCACTCAGCCGAATCGGGATCAGCAGCCGGGGCCTTCGGAGCAGTCTTCTTTGACTGCTTCGTGTCCTTCTTTGTGGCCTTGGAACCCCGGCCACGGCCACGTCCACGGCCTCGACCAGGCTTTCCATCAGCGGCATCCTCGGAAGCGGCCTTGATGCGAAGCTGAGCATCTCGTGTCAGAACCTGCCGGGATCTATTAGGGGGAAGGAATGGGTAACAATGGCAACAATCCCTAGCCCTACATCTTTATCAAAACACCAGACCTGCTTCTCCGGGGTCAAATCGTTCTTGTACACCAAGTCAAACTGCTTCGGCTTCGGGGTGGGCTCCGGTGATGTCAAAGGCTCCACGGGCTCAACTGCCGAGGCTGCTGCGGGGGGCAACTCATCCAAACCTTCTTCTTTCACAAGAGATTTCTCGGGGGTATCCAGGTCTATCACAGTGGAGGCTCGGGCCAAGGGCAAGGGCGAACTCGGAAGTCCATCCCACGGCTGTGTCTCCACTGCATCCATGGAACCACTGGGGACCTTGTTGTCCATGACAAGCTTGCCAGAACCTGAGAATCAAGCAAAACATGATAAAGGCTTTGTTCGTATTGTTTGATAGTGAAGCTAAGGTTCTGTCGGCGCTTCCGCCTTTCATAGCATTTGCCCTCTTCCTCAGAATGAATCCCCACTCGAGGTTTTGGGTGCATGCTCTACCCAGAAGCAAAATTCACAAATGCTGCAAAGGCTCAACTCAGACAACTTCCTAGCACTCGCAGCCAACAAAGCCTTCAATTGCAGCTGCCTTGCTTTTGCTCTGGCCGCCTCCGTGTCACCCCCGGCGTCTGCTGACCTTAGTGGGGCCACTGTCGTCTCACCCGAGTCCCTTGAGCTGGAGGCCACTGTCGTCGTCTCACCCGAGTCCCTTGAGTTGGAGGCCACTGTCGTCTCACACGAGTCCCCTTTGGTGGAGGCCACTGTCGTCTCACCCGAGTCCTCTGTGGAGGCCACTGTCGTCACTGTCGTCTCACCCGAGTCCCCTGTGGTAGAGGCCACTGTCGTCTCACCCAAGTCCCCTGAAGAGGAGGCCACTGTTGTCTCACCCACGTCCCCTGAAGAGGAGGCCACTGTCGTCTCACCCAAATCGTCACCATCCACATAGGGTGTCAATGCTGGCAGCTCATCATCCTTTACAGACAATTCTTCCAGCAGCTCAAGCAGCGAGCGAGGCCCAATATCATCCACCGAATAATGCTCGTGAACCTCTGGGGCTGCCAAATCCCTGTCCGAACCGGAAGGCTCCGAAGCAGCAGAAGCAGTGGCAGCAGGGGCTGTGGCAGCTCCATCGCTGTCCTCCTGATCTTGCATGTAGGGGTCATTGAGGTCATCGCTCGAATCTGGTCGCACAAGGCTTGCCTTGTTGCCGCCAGCCTTATGTTGTTCAATGGAAACACACGGAACCAAAGCCAATTCCCGTCAATTACCGAAACCGAAATGCAAACAGAAATCATTGTCCTTAGCTGATTTAGCTTGGAAGCACGAACGAAGTTAGCCAGGGCCAAATCGTACATGCGGACCAGCTCAGCCGCACGAGGATCCTGCAGAAGCAAATCACTTTACACCAGCTTCTTTGCTTTGACACTGCTAACTATGAACAACCTTATAAAATCAGGCTCCTTCGGGATCTCAGGACCCCCAGGTCGTGACCATTTCCTCCGGGCCAAGTTCAAGCATCGCTTGATGCCCCAAGCCTCCTGATGGGCCATGTCTTCGGCTCCAGCCGGGTTTGGGTACCCGGCATTACCAAACAGCTCAAGAATCAAGGGGCTCAAAGTCTCCAAAGACGGGGTTGACACGACACCGCACTTCACCATGCACTCAAGGATGGGCTTTAGGATGTCGTAGTTGGCTGCTAAATTCTTGACATTGCCCAGCACTTGTGGAATCCCAGGCGTAGTCGAAAGCATCAACCTCTTTCCTTTCACCACTCTTCGGCGCACGGCAGCATTGTCCTCCCATGCCCCCGGCACTTTCGAAAAATTAACCATCCTCGTGGCTAAAAGCACAATGTGCACAGCAGCACAAAACAAAGCCCAAATGGCTATTGATGATCACTGTTTTCATGCCCCTCGAACATGTGCAATATGTAGTGTTTGCATGTATACATGTACATGTACCACACAACTTGCAGCAAGCGGGGGCGGGCACTTGCCGAGGTCAGCAAGTGCCGCCGATGAAGAGCTCGCTGGTCTCACCTCCCAAAATTCCCGAATTTAAGAAATGCCAGCTTCGAATCCTCCCACTTGCACTGGTATCCACAGCCAAAGCCCAAATAATCCCCAAGCCCCTAAACCCTAAACCCTAAACCCTAAACCCTAACCTAAACCCTAAACCCTACAGCCTAAACGGTTGTCCCGCCTCCATCACCGACGATCTCCAGAAGGCCAAAGAGCCATGTTCGAGAACACTCGGAGCTTGCTTTTTAAGGGCTTTCGGGTCTTTAAGTGGGTTAAGGGATTTCAGGATTAAGGGGTTTAAGTGTGCACGAAAAGTCTCCTAGGGTCCACGAAGAGTCTCTAAAAGTTTTTAGGGGGTTTAAGGGTCCACTATATTTTTGTGGGGTAGTTTCTACGGGGTTTATAAAAGGTCCAGTATGTTATTGTGTGGTAGTCTGGACTTGGAACACCGAAACGAAGGGACATGTTGAGCCATGCTGCTCGCATCTTCAGATTTATGGGATTCAGATTGCACTACATACTTCAGAGGCTATTCTCGATGCTTCCAAGGGCCTCTAAGTCCCAGGCCCCAAGGCCCAGCCCCAGCCCCTCAGGAAATACGGGTGCGAGTTGCCCCCAACCCAGAAAAATAGTGCGTTTGCAGAATAACCAGGTTTTAGGCCGCACAACCAATAATAATAGGGTTGGAACTGTACCAGGTATATATATAGATATACAAATATGATAATCGTAGTAACAACTATGACAATAATAGCAAGAAGAATAGTCCGAATACAAATACAAACAAAACTTACAAGATTCATCACAATAAAAAAATAATAATGATAATATTAATAAGAACAATAATAACAATAATACTAACAAGAATAATAACAATAATAATAACAATAATAATAAGAAGAGTAATAATTAGATTCGTAGTACTAATATTAGTCATAATAATAGTTATGAAGGATGAAAACAACAGCTGCAATAATTCGTAATACGTAGTAATAAGAATAGCACAACTTGGGAAATAAGCTCACAATGATGAAGCGTAGCTGACAGCGGTAAAAACTTGTCCGGCTTGCTTGCCGCAGCTTTCTGGTTGCTATCGTCTGTGGAGTCTCCTGCATCGAGCCCTTCGTACCTTGAAGGCCTTCTCCGACAACTCTGCTAGTATCGTCCTGTCAACAGCTCTTCCCTGGCCAGGCCATGGAGACCGTTTCCGCGCGCTGGCTGCGGAACCTTCACTTAAACCGTGCTGGGGACCCAGTCAGTTGTACATGGCAATGAGTTTCAACACGAAGCCTTGGCAGTCAGGCCGCAGAAGGGCGATTCAATCGCGTCTGGAAAGGCGGTCTCAAAAAGACACGCCGGATGGCCGCAATCGAGGCTCCGAGCTGCCTGGCCGGAGCCGTCCAGCAGTCGAAGCCGTATCAGGTGGTGAGCCGGTTTCCTCCGCAAAGCCGTGTCTACAAGTACGCGAAATGGATCCTTCAGCGGGGCGCTTAGCATGATATAGC